GGAAAACATGACTAGGAAACAATGTTTCCTGGTTTGTCCTCCTTTGGGAAACATGACTAGGAAACAATGTTTCCTGGTTTGTCCACCTTTGGGAAACATGACTAGGAAACAATGTTTCCTGGTTTGTCCACCTTTGGGAAACATGACTAGGAAACGATGTTTCCTGGTTTGTCCACCGTCGGGAAACACTGCTAGGAAACAATGTTTACTGGTTTGTCCACCTCACAAGGAAACACTAGTGAATATTTAATGTGTTTTTTTCTTATATTCTATTCTATATAGTTTATTTTCTTTCCTGCTTTATTTCAAATTGTTCATTCTGGAGGAACAAATTACGGTACGCTACAAGTTTACGAAAAATCTTTTCATAATAATTTTGCAGTCATATGCAGAGAAAACATATATGCAGGATCCTGGGCCTGGGGTCGGTTGTACGAAATTTACGAAGGCTGGGTAGCGCTATATACACCGGATAATTAATTTTTTAGCGGTTGTTAAAAATGCTTAAAGCTATTAAACCGCTGCTATACGGGCCTCACGATTAATAAATATAAACTTTAATGTATAAATACTAAAGTTTAATCTGGATTTTACCATTCAACGGACATGTTTAGAAAGTTTGAAACATTCACTATCCAATTAGATAGCTAGTGCTATGCGGGCTAGGATGGCCCTATAAGCGTGGTGCCCAAGGACGAAGCGTTTAGAAAGCATAGAGCTGTCCAGATCAATTAATAAAATTAGTTTAGTTCAGGTTTACTCCTTTACTCCATTACTTGACGAAAAAAAGGATGGCCTTAGCTTTACTGGACGTCCTGTTGAGTTTTTCACTCATTCGTGATTGTTTTTTAAATTTACTGAGTTTCTCACTCATTGGTGAGCGGATTTCCCAACAGGCTATTGCCCAATAGACCTTTCCCCTTTTGAGTGAAATGTTGGTCTAGACAAGTCTGGACAAAAATTTCATCACAGCTTGATTCTTGAAAGAGCATCACAAAATTAGTAATATTCCGAAGTTTCGTTGCGAAATGTTGTAAAATGCGGATAATATAGCCTTGCGAAGATTGCCGTTTTTCAGTCATTTTGTATTACAAATGGGAAATTGATAATCAGTTTGATCATCTGATTTGAGGAGAACAGTTAAGAACTGATAGAGCCGTTGAGTATCAATAAATTATATAAAGTTGGCCAGTCATCTATCGAAGTCAATTAAAATGGTTTATCTTCTACCTATATCTTTAGATCCCTACCGATGGTTAATATCTTACAGAAAACCGGCCACCCTATCCTCGACAGAAGGAGAACTGTATGCATCTTTTGCAACTGATGGCAACTTTAAGACTATATATACTGAAGATCCGGGAACAAATTATAGTGCAACCTTACTTGAATCAACTCCTACATTGCAAATCGACTTAGAAATGAGCGTTCCAGTGTTTAGAATACATATCAAAGGAATTGAATATAATGGATTCGATCCAGGACAGACCTATCTGACAGTGCGCGTTGGTAATTTTTAAACTTATTTATTATATTCTCTAAAGGAGCGGTCATTATTTCTGGAGGTGGTTGCACCGAAGAAAAAAGGGTTGGATAAACAAAATTTAGAGTGAGTAAACGGTTGAGTAAATGAAAAGTTGGGTAATAAAAATTTATTGTCATTTCCAAATCATGACTCACTCAAATATTGAAGACTACAAAGCAATGTGTTCAACAGTCATGCATATGTCAATACAATATCAGAGTCACTATCTTGATCATTTTCCGATTGTCAGGAGATAAATGGTGTCTCCGAAGAAAGTACATGTGCAGACAACATGAAACTTTCGACTGCAGAAAATTGCACAAGCAATTATCAAACTTGTGACACAGAGGTGGCAAAGGATATATGTGACAACTGAATGGTATTCCTTTGTAAACATTTTAATGGTTGGATCAGAAAATTTTTGCCAAGAAAAACAATTTAAATTCATAGGATGAAAATTTGGAAGGTGTTTTATAAATTACCAAAGTACCAGACAATTTGATGTACATTAAATCCAACGCGCAAAACCCTAAAACTTTGACTTTTTGCCGTCCTACCGTTCAGCCACACTCAATTTATTAATTAAACGCATTATTGATTTTATACATGATTGCTTTCTTTACAAAAAGTTCCTAAAAATTATGCGTGAAATGCTACTATGGCACAAGTCAAAGTTTTAGAGGTCGCGCGTTGGACTTAATGTACATCAAATTGTCTGGTACTTTGATAATTCATAAAACACTTTCTAAATTTGCACCCTATTATGAATTCAAATTGCGTTTTAAGCCTTCCATTTTTGTGCGCATGCAAGCCATCCATATTTAAAGTGGAGTTTTTTAAACAACATCCTGCACTCGACAATTTATTTTTCAAAATAATTTTAAGGTTACTTCACACGATGAACGTGCGTTTTAGTCTATTGGACTGACATTGCTCAACGACTTTTAGGTGTAACTTTACCAAATTTTCAGTGAAGAAAGCCAGGAAAATGCTGATTTCGACAATTTTTATTTGATGGGTGTTCTGTTTAAACATTTTCAGTATTGGCTGACTGAGTAAATATGTAGGTACCTTCATAAAAAAATCAAAATATGTTTATAGTTTACCTCAACGGTTGTCTAGATATCGCAATTCAAATCTTCATAGGCATGGTAAAAAAAACGTGTGCGGAAAATTTCTCTTCTTTAGTGGTTTTTCTGATATGCCCTGATTCTTGGATTTGTCACTGATAATTCACGAAGTTGTCAAAGAAAACGTCATATTAGAAAAACCATTGAAGAAGAGAAATTTTCCGCACACGTTTTTTTTACCGTACCTATGAAGATTCAAATCGATATATGTAGACAAACGTTGAGGTAAACTATAAATATATTTTGATTTTTTTATGGGATACTTATGTATTTCTTTAGTCAGCCAATACTGGACATGTTTAAACAGAACACCCATCAAATGAAGATTTTCGAAATCAGCATTTTATTGGCTTTCTTCACTAAAAATTTGGTAAAGATACACCTAAAATTCGTTGCGCCATGTTCAATAGACTAAAACGCTCGTTCATCATGTGAAGTAACCTTAATGGTAAAGATACTACCCCTTGCATCATGTTTTCTGAAAATATTTTGCAGAATTTGCAGTTTAGCGTACATTTTCGACTGTGCAAATTTTTTATACATCCTGTATATTGTTTTTTTTGCACGTAGGTGATAACCCGACAGTTGGTTCAACAGAAAATCCACAGTGTGGTTCAACCATGAGTGTCAATAAATGGCAGCGTATGACATGCGGGAAGAAGGGAAGATATGTGAACGTAATACGCGCTGTTCCTAATTCGGGAAGCCAATTTAAACTTGTTGAAGTTGCAGTTTTAAAGAAACCTCTAGGTGATTAAATTAGGGCCTTTAAGATGGAGAGGGGGCAGTCCTTATGTCGGTCTTCCAAGCATCCATAACCGGTTACTTTATTCCAGTGTCAATGTATTTAGACATTTAATATAGGTAATAGTGATGTAATTTGGATAAAAACATGCACAAGTGAGTTCTTTAAAAAGCATTTAATGAGATGGAGTAATTCCTAGTATGACTCTGTATTGGATCTTGAATACGTTCTATCTGATGCCTCAGTATTAAGTATTAAGAGAAGAATCTTTCTGTGCTTTTTTAGACAACATGGCTAACTAGGGCCCTTCCCGATTGTGCTTGTAAAACCTGGCCTTTTGTGCTCCAATGCTCATTTTCTTCCAAAAATATAATGTTTGGTTTTATTTTTTTTAAATTTTTAAAATTAACTAATTTCAAATTTTTAAATTATTAATTAATTAATTAAATTAAACAAGTTTCCAATAGATTATCCCACAATGATTAAAGGTGCAGTACAGTCCGTATGTAAACAAAGGCTTTGTTTACATTTCGGTATCCAAAATAATGAATTTTATTAGACAACTATTTATATTTTCATGATTCTAGAGTATAATAAATTATCAACAGACAACAATCAAGCTTTGCAAGAAAATAAAATGAAATAAAAACCTAAATAAACTGTTCGTAAATAAAAAGAGGGCTCCTTTGTGCACATGCGCAGATCGGACTGTACCGCATCTTTAATCTGGCATCCTGGCTTGTTTATTTTCTAGAGGAGAAATATTTAATACAGAACAGATAGCCACTGTGTTTTCATATATTCACAGTTAATATTTGGACAACATATTATTATCAGTGAAATTTCAACGTTTTCGTTAACCGATTGTGAATTTTATACATGAATTTTACCAGGAATTTTGAGCAAATACTACTATACTAGGAAAGTATTACGAATGCGTGCGAATTATGTATTAAATGTAATTGCATGGAAAGGGAATTGCCTAGTGATTTACCCACTGCGCATTTTGCCTATCTAGGGGAGTAGGGGGCCCGGGGGCTCCAACCATAGCCAGGTCCGCCCCTGTCACAAGCAATGTTATAATTTGACAATGGACCATTTGCATTATGGACTAAATATTAATCTAAACAAGTCTAGACAAAAATTTCATCACAGCTTGAAAGAGCATCGCAAAATAAGTAATATTCCAAAGTTTCGTTGCGAAATGTTGTAAAATGCGGATAATATAGCCTTGCGAAGTTTGCCGTTTTTCAGTCATTTTGCACTACGCGGGGGAAATTGACAGCCCAATACCCTTTGGGGTTGTCAATTTCCCGTTTGTAATACAAAATGACTGAAAAACGGCAAACTTCGCAAGGCTATATTATCCGCATTTTACAACATTTCGCGACGAAACTTTGGAATATTACTAATTTTGTGATGCTCGTTCAAGCTGTGATGAAATTTTTATCTAGACTTGTTTAGATCAAAATTTAGTCCATAATGCAAATGGTCCATTACATGCAGCACTTCATTTCTAATTTGAACTTACAGTGAGCTTTGTTATGTTTGCAGAGAGTCTTGCATACCACAAAGAAACAGCATCCACTACTCTATGGAGTACGTCCACAACGGCTCATCAGGCAGTGGACATGATCTTTAACTTTTACTTTGCATCCCAAATTACTGCATTCAATTGGATGAGGATCAACTTGGATGATACTCACTTTATACATGAAGTGTTACTATTCGCGCGAGCTCTTTTTGGCTCAAGCTTCTATAATTTTGAACTCCGAATAGGTAAGTCATTGTAACAGAACCGGATAGGATAGAGGTACGTTAAGTGACCCACAGTGTAGTGTAGTGCAGTGCAGTGCAGTGCAGTGCAGTGCAGTGCAGTGCAGTGCAGTGCAGTGCAGTGCAGTGCAGTGCAGTGCAGTGCAGTGCAGTGCAGTGCAGTGCAGTGCAGTGCAGTG